TGGATCAAGTCTAACAATTAAAACAAGAAAATTAAAAATTTAGATGATCAAACGGTTGAATTCCTTATAACTGTCCAGAAAATGTTTAAAGATGGATTTTTTGGTTCCAAATGTCTAATAAGAAGTGAAGGAATGATGGAGTGAAATTGCTCTAACACTACAACTTGGAAAATAATATTTTCCAAATTAAAAACTGAAAAACTGTTTGCATGAAGAAATTGGACAATTCATCATTTTGTTATATTTATTGTTTTTGGACTTGCTAAATTCATTAACTACCATAAAATGTAATTTGCTACATATATCATTACTATTAAATCGAATTAAAATAAGCATAATAAGATGTAACTTTTTACAAATTCAAAAAATTCTGAGGAGAGGGTTCAGAGCCACTTTAAATTTTCCTTTAAGGTGGCTCTTAACTTGTCGCCAGTATTAGCTTAATCTGGCTCCGCACTTCATTAGCAAATATTGAATACTGATCAACATACTCTACCTCCCTTCATTTTAGGCAGTTGGCAAGCTGGTCGGTCATAATGCCCAGCAACTGATGGTTATCTGTCATCTATACAAAACAGATATCCAGCAATATATGTGCACTAGTAAAGTGAATTTGGAAGCACTATCAAGAAGACTTGATAACATGTTGCAAACTACAGCAGCCTGCAAGTCATTTTGCTGTACATAAAATGATCTGAATGAAACACATCCTGCTCAATCATGGCCATCAGATATCACCTGATTATGCAGTATTGCAAAGCATTTGCAACCCAATAACTGAGTCTAGAATTTCTATTAATGAAAATTTTGTTTGCTTACATTTCTCTTTCTTTATACCAAAATGCATGGACCATCTCTCAGTAAGCTGTGCAGTTTGGACTGGGCAAAAATGGCATGAAATACTGTTTGCTGGAATTTCTTTAAAGTACTGTAAAATTCCAGTAGTACTAGGACCACCCAACCCTGAAAACAAATTACCCTCAATGAGCTTCCTAAAAGTAGTAAGCCTCTTTCTGATCTTCAACAATAATTAACAAAATGAGATTATCCACTCTTGACTTCTAAAAATGATTTATCTAGGTTAAGCATAAAACTTACATGTACACTTAGCGAAATCAGGCAGATTGAATTGTTTTTGAAACCTGTAGTTGTCGGCACATGCTAATCAGTTATTTTTCAAACAATTTCAAGTTTATTAAGTTGAGTAATGGTGAATGCTCTTCTGTAGTCCTCTCAAGAATTATGTTGCTATTAACTGTTGCTCTGAAACTTTGGAAAAATACAAATGTCACCAGTGTGACCTCCAGCCATTGCACACTTAAGGATGACAGTGCAGGTAAGTGTAACGATAGATCGTATCACTAGGTTAGAGATCATAGTAATGCAAGTGTGTCACGTGATTTTGTAATTGATATAACACCTTTTTAGATAGAACAAGGCGTTGTCTCAAGTGTATTCTAGGGAATACTCGATTCCATTAAAGCACTTTAAACAGTCTTCTATGATCTGTTCGATATCAAAACAGTAAGCTCAACCAATCAAACTGCAGCATTTGTATCAGTGTGCAAATGAATTTATACTGCTAAAATTCATTATGATTAGCAAGCCCCACTACTACTGGGGCTGTTTTATATCCATCTAAACATTACTAGCACATGAGATTTAAGTTGAATCTTTCACTTTCACACTGGTGGAACACGGACTTGTTTTCATGCACCTTGCATAGAGCAATCAAGTGTTCTTGTTTTATCTAACAGCCACTTCTCTGCAAAAATGAAGCCAAATTTGATATATTTGCCTTGTTTAACAAAAGAAATCAGCTGCTTGTATTACCTGTTTAATAGGTGGCCATAACAATGGCAAGGAAATTTTTTTGAATTAGTTGTGACTAGAGAATTACTCACCATTGCTAGGAGACATAAGGTGCAAAATTTAAAAGTAAAACCAAAGGTTACAATGTACAATCAACTAAAAATCATGTAAACACACACTGCATACCTTTCTTGTACCACACCCTTCATCCAGGTGAATGTATGCTATGTTTACTTATGATATAAACTTTCTGGGTAGTGTTAGCAATGATGCTTTAAGGTGTGAACACTGATGACTATTTGGCATAACAGCAACTTCACGCCATTCGTTGCGTTGTATGTCAAAACGCTCCACGGTTTTCAAAAAGTATTCTTCATTTCTTCCACCAAATAAGTAAATTATGTCATCCATGCTCACAATGCCACAGGCAGCACGTGGAAAAGCAGGACTAGCAATGAGGCTCCAC